CTGAAGGTGAAGCTCTATGTGTTGGTCTTTCAGTAAATGATCCTGAGTTCTGTTGGAAAAGCACAGAGTGTGTTACTCATTAAACCTCTTTAACTTCTGAACTGGCCTTTGCCAGCAATTTTCCTTGCTGATGCCTTGGGGAATGGTTTGCTGGGCTGCAGGAAGGATCCAGATGTGTGACAAGGACTTGTGTAACTGCTGTATAAATAACCCAGTGGGGTGACATAAAAAAATGCATTTAATCCACAGCTTTTTTTTTCTTTCGGCTTGGCCTGTGGTTTTGTCAACACAGGGAATGACTGGGGGGGGAGTGATGTGAAATCCAGGGATTTATCCAGCTGCTCCACGTGGGTTTCAGTGCATTAGTTAATGAGCCAGTCAGACTGAGATGTGTATCAGTTATGTATAATATGCAGGTTGATCTATGTATCTCATGTATGTGTGTATCAGGTTGATATGTATATCAATTATATATTATATATACAGCAGGTTGAAATATATCTCATATATTTGTAGCAGATTGATATATGTATCAGTTCTGTCTATAATGCAGGTTCATAAATGTATCAGGCTGATATATATATATCAATTATATCAATTATACTTATTATATATAATGCAGTTGGGTTTGTATCATATATGTATCAGGTTGATCTGTATATCAATCATATTATATATATATAATGCAGGTTCATATGTATTTCATATATATCTGTATCAGGTTGAGATATAAATATATATAATGCAAGTTCATATATATCTCATGTATCAGGTTGATAATGATATATCTGTAGTAGGTTGATATAGATATCAGTTATATCTATAATGCAGGTTCATATCTCATATGTGTATCAGATTGAGAGATATGTATGTCAATTATATATATTATATATAATGCAGGTTGATATAGATATCATACATATGTAGCAGATTGATATGTACATCAATTATCTCTCAATTACATATACATTATGCAAATGATGTCTGACTTTTAAGGACCAAATTCACCCCAAAACTTTGAGTTCACGCTCAGTTTTAAGGCAGCCTTAGTTTTGTGGCTCCAAGGGGCATTATTGGCCATAATCATCAGCCAAATCCTTCCCTGGCATCAAAATCCCCCCAGAAATGCAGCTGTGCTGCTCTGCAGGGAGGAAGTGTGAGTAAAAATGAGCAAGAAATGCTGGTTTTGTGTCTAAGGCTCTGCCCATTGAGGGCTGGGGAGTGTTTGTGGGCACTAAAAATAAGGCAGGACCACGTGTGAACAGGATGAAAGGGAATCTTGTGGAGTGGATGGATCTCATCTTTATGCATGTGCATGTCCCAAAATAAGTCCAGGCTCAGGAACATCAGTTTAGTCTTGAAAATTGCCTTTTAGTCATCTCTTTCTCAATCAGCTTTCGGAATCAGGCCTTAAAAGAAAGTTGTGTTTTGCATTGCTAAGCCCTTTGGCATGATTTCTATTTTTGGGGGGGTTATTTTTGGTGGAGATAAATCTGATATTGTGACCTACATTGCTCGATTTGAGGCAGCAAGGGATAATATCTCCACCTGTGATTTCCTTCAGGCTTCGACTGAAAGGAATTAGTTTGCAATACATTTTCCAGGTACAGGAGATAAGAAGGCAAATAAGTGGCTGCAGGTAGTAATTAGATATAATTAACTGTGTTCTTCAAAATAATTAAGTGCTCTGTGGCTGTTTGCTCTGTGCTCTCAGTGTTATGGATCATCTCTGGGCTTGATGCTTGTGGGAGTTCTTGTTCCCATGACATGACAAAGCTTCCACGAGAGAACTTTGCAGGTGCCAAGGTTGATCCTGTTTAGGTCATATCAGGTCTTGTGTGTCATTAAAATTTGGAGTTATTACTCTCTGAGTGTGACATCTTTGTTTTGGAAACACCCTCAGGAGTGGGGAAAACATGGATATGTGTTTGCCAAAAAGCTCCAGCAAGTGAAGAGAAGCTTCAGGATGAACTAATTGTGGCTTTTCAGTACCTGAAGGGGCTACAAGAAAGATGGAAAGAGACTATTCCCAAGGGCCTGGAGGGACAGGATAAGGGTGAATGGTATCATGCTGACAGGGAGTGAGGTTAGATGGGATATTGGGAAGGAATTCCTCCCTGGGAGGTGCTGGCACAGGTTGCCCAGAGCAGTTGTGGCCTCTGCATCCCTGGGAGTGTTCCGGGCCAGGCTGGATGGGGCTTGGAACAACCTGAGCTAGTGGAAAGTGTCCCTGCCCATGGCAGGGGATGGAATGGGCTGATCCTTCAGGTCTCCCAACCCAACCCCTCTGGGATTCTGTGCTGTTTGGCACTGAAGGAACCAGGTGTGTTTGTCATCCTTGTGAACAGCTTCATCATCCCAAATTGGTCATGCACGAGTTCAGCCAAGGCTGAGCTGTCTCTGCTTTGTGCTAGGATCAGCTGCAGGCAGAGGGGTTGAAAGTGAAGGCTGGCACTAATTTATGAGAGACAGGGGAAAAAAAATCGGGTCAGCAAGTCTGAAAGGTGCTGACAAGCATATAATACCTGCAGATTGTTAAAGAAGGGGGGGAAAAAAAGAATCTTAAGATGGTTTTTCCGAGTAAGCAAACTGTTGTGCCTGAGGTTTCCTAGGCATCAGAGGGAGCAGGAGTGAAGCAGCTTGCTGGAGGACACATGAGGAGGCTGTGACAGAACAGGCTCAGTTGGGGAATTGAGATTTTCTAACAGCACATTCCTTGAAAGGAGCTAACAGAGTGGGATTGGGGCTAATTGAGCAGTTTGGCTAACTGATCTCTGTCCTTACACACCTCTGTGGACAGACCCAGAACTCTGAACCATCTCTGTGCTACCCCAAGCTTTCCAGCTCTTCCCTTCCTGAATATTCAGGGATGGGGAAATTGCCCAGAAATGTTAGAAAGTTAGAGCTCAAGGAGCAGTGTAAGACATCCCCTGCTCAGCTGAGGTCAGGCTGACGTTGCCCCTCGTGAGCTGAGTGTGAGCACATCCCAGAGCATGAGATACCTGTGCAGACCACACAGTCACTCCCCCGAGCACATGTTGAGCTCAGCTGTGAGCAGAGGAGTCCTGAAATCCTCGTGTGCTGCCTTAGCTCAGCTCTCTGATGTCATCCAAAGAGCCTTTCTGGCACGTGTGAGGCACTGGATCTCTCCCTCCCCTAAAATAACCTCCTCTTGCTCAGGGCAGGCTTTGAGCACTTGCTGCTGGGACTATTTTTTCTCCTTTTCCAGGGCAGGGGTTTAAATTGCCACATGCCTGCTCCAGGATCTAGTTGCTCAGCAGGCAAAGTAGCCACCAAAATCATCAGTGTAGGAGGACAGAGCAGGATCTGATCCTTCTCCTGGATATTTTTGTGTGGTAACTTGCAGCTGAGTTCCTTGAGGGGCGAAAAAGGTGAAGGGGATTGTCAGAGGTTTTAGGTAGCACCACACACATATACATACACCTTAAAGGAAGGGAATAGCTCTAGGATTCTGGAAATGCTCCTCACCTGGGAGCTTGGGAGAGGAAATTCCTTCTGCAAATGACCCTGGGAATGGGTCACTCTTCCTGAATGTTTCCTATTTTTGACTCTTCTGCTTTGTTTTTGTTTCCCATTTAGGAGCCATAACTCTTCTGCCAACCTGTAAGTGCAACTGGTAATGGGTAATGGTGTGAGAGAAGGTCGAGTGGATTTCAGACAGGATGTGGAGCCAGTCCCAGCAGCTCGTCTTCCATCAGAGGTGAGAGCAGGGGATTGCTGGGGGGCAGAGGCAGCAGGTGAGGGGAATTCTGCCCTTCTGATCTGCTCAGGTGAGACCTCACCTGGATCACTGTATCCAGCTCTGGGGCCCTGCATGGGAATGAGCTGTTGGAGTAAGTGCAGAGGCCACCAAGGTGGTCAGAGGATGGAGCAGCGCTGATGTGAGGAAAGGCTGAGAGAGTTGGGATTGTTCAGCCTGGAGAAGAGAAGGTTTGGGGTGAACTAATTGTGGCTTTCCATTGCCTGAAGGAGCTACAAGAAACATGGAGAGAGACTATTCCCAAGGGCCTGGAGGGACAGGACACAGGGAATGGCTTCACCCTGGGAGAGGGCAGGAATAATGGGATATTGGGCAGGAATTCCTCCCTGTGACTGGCACAGGGTGCCCAGAGCAGCTGTGGCTGCTCCATCCCTGGGAGTGTTCCAGGCCAGGTTGGATGGGGCTTGGAACAGCCTGGGCTGGTGGAAGGTGTCCCTGCCCATGGCAGGGGTGGAATGAGATGATTTTTAAGATCCCTCCCGGCCCAACCCATCCTGGGATTCGAGCTCTGGAGTCCTGAAAGAGCTGCAGTGTATGTGCAAGCCAAGGAATGTGTAACTTGTGCTTCCTCTGAGGAGAGCCAAGTATTTCCATCCCTTTGGGAAGAGGTTGGGCATCACTCAGGGCTGACAGGCAGGCAGGACTGTGCTCTCTGGGCAGGGAATCTGTTCTGTCTTAGTGGCACAGCTGGGACTGGGGCCATGGGTCTGTGTTTCCCTGCTCCTGGACTTGTTAGAAATTCTGGAAGAGAAGGTGATGCTGAACCTTGGTCTGATTTAGCCCAAAACTCAGGCTGAAGTTCACCCAGTGCTGCCTTTGCATGGCTGCTCTTGCCTATAGCACCAAACAGGCAGAGATGGGAAGGGAAAACTGAAGTGAACCATGGAGTTCGGTAGTAAACATTAACTTTTTAGTTGGGAAACCTTCTGAAAAGAGGAAAATGTTAACTCCTCTTCTCCACAAACACATAAAGCATGTCAAAAGTTAACATTAAGCCTTGTCTTGACTTGTTTCTCCATCCAGAATCTCCACAGGGTTGGATTTCTTCTCATTTCCTTGCTCTTTGCCCATGAGTTAGGAGAGAGCTGCTTCAAAAATATGAGCTGTGGGAGGAAGGTCAATAACAAACCCATTTCTGTTCCCTTCATCCTAGTAGGAAACCTGTCTTGTTTTATTCCAGGAGCTTGGGAGCAGTGTGGAAATAGAGCCTGGGTGATACTGGAAGGGCAGAAAAGCACTTTACCTCCTCTGCATGCCAGAATCATGAGGAGGCAGTGGCTGAGCTTTTAGAAGGAGAAGTAATAAGGAGAAAAGAGCTGTCAGATCTTGGAATTTTGCTTCCTGATGTGACCAGGAATTCACTGTGCTAGAAATTTAGCCAAGAATATTGACCTAGATACTGGATTTTGGGGGGTAAATGCTGCAGCAAAAGTAACATATTCTTCCTTTTGCTTAGGATTTGTTCCAGGATAACCAGGAGAAGAAGAAAGTGCTCAACTCGCTGATGTCTGGTGCACTGGCTGGTGCTGTGGCTAAAACTGCAGTGGCTCCACTGGATAGGACGAAAATCATGTTCCAAGGTGAGTTCTGACTTTGGCTTTGGCATAATGTCTTACTTTATTGCTAGCAGAACTCTCTGAGAGGGTTCTCAGAGCAGCTCCTCTGATCTACTCAGCCAGTTTGTGCTCCAGTGCTCCCAGAGGAATCCAGGGAGCTGTGGAGGAGCTGAAGGGAGGTAACTGGGCTGTGTGAGCTCCTTGCTGAAGGCTCTGTGCCAGGCTCTGCCTGCCCACATTGTGTCCCAGCTGAATTGCTCTGGGGAGAGCTGAAGTTGGTGATGGAAAGTGCTACAAGAGGCATTGAAACTGCAGCTCTGGCTTTGGTTTTTAAAGACCTTTCTGGAACCCGTAAATTGTGTAAGAGAGGATGAAATTTAGCTAATTGAACAGAAAATTCTCATGTGTTTTGTAGGATTTTGGGATTCAGCCCCATCCTGGGCTCTGTTTGCTTCCCCTGTTCCAGTGCAGGGACTGTCAGCCACACTAATTATCCTGGAGGGAAGAGCACAGACTGTTAATTCAGGAGCCATTTGGTAAAGCCAAGGGGTTTAAATCTGGTTGACATCCCAGATTAACTGAATTGGGCAGGTTTAATCTAATCCCTGGATGACATTTAATTTGGAATTGACTTTCATTCCATGTGATTTTCATTCTGAACACAGCAAGGGCTGTGAGGGCTGGACTAGCAGGGCTATGGATCAGGGAGTTCAGGGATTGCCCCTGGGACCAGCTGCTCGGGCAGGACATGTTGTGCTTCCCCACCAGAACACTCTGGTTCACCTCAGGTTGGAAATGTCAGGAGCAGAGGTGAGCTGGAAACCACAGCCCTGGGGTGAGTCAGCAGCTGAGCAGATAAATCACCTGTAATTTGTCCAGGCCATGGGTATAAAAAGACCTGTTTGCTTTGGCTCATCAGACTTGCTGCGAAGGAGATGATGAAAATGTTCCCATTTGAGCAATTTCTTCATATCTAATGGATTTCTTGGCTTGTTATTCTCCTGAAGGGAAAGCCTGTGGGTTTTTTTCACTGGCTGTGAGGAGGGGAGAGCAGCTTTGGGTCATGTGAGTGTTACAGGGAAAGCACTTCTGGGTCCTAAGTGTTCCAAGGTTGTGCCTTCAACTAGAGAATGAAGAGTGAGTGAGGATTAGAGCAACTTGGGCTGGTGGAAGGTGCCCCTGCCCATGGCAGAGGGTGGAATGTGATCATCTTTAAGGCCATCCCAACCCAAACCACTCTTAATTCCCTGATCCTATGAGTTCTCCTATGGGAGAGGGCAAAGAGCTGTTTTCCATCCCACTCAGCTGCAGTTGCTTATTGAGGTGGTTTTATTCCTTACAAAACCAGAGCATTGAATTGCATAAAGGAGCAGAGTGGTGGAAAAAAAAAACAACCCTTGATTTGCATGTGATTGTTGGCTACACTTGAGAGGTTCCAAGTCTCAAATGAGTGAGAAAGCAACTGCAGCACACACTTAATTGGGCCCATGTTTCATTAGCTGCCTCAGGCTTTAGCCAGGGGTTTCCTTCCTGCTGGAAGGATGTTACACAACATAGCTGCTGTTTGCCAGCTAAATCCTGCTCCCAAATGCCTCCTGGATTCCGTGGGTAAGGAGGTGCTGTCAGTTTGAATGGATGCAGGAAGGGAAACAGAGTGTTCAGCTGAGCTGGGGTGAAACCATTCTGGCCTGGAGCTGCTCTGGAACTGGTCTGGAACCTGGAAATGCTCTGCTGGAATGAGTGAACAGTGCAGTTCTGATGGGGTTTTTTTTTAAAGCATTGATTATTTATTCATGTATTTCACTGGAGTGTGACACTAACTGAGTGTTTGCCTAACAGGCAGTGGAAAAATGGACTCTTGGGCTAAATTAGAGGAGCAATTACCAATGGAAAGTCTTTATGAGAAAGAATTCTGTTTTCTCATACATTCATCCTTTTGCCTCTGTCTTTACCTCTTAGCTAAAACACCTGTGTGGTTTATTTATGGATCAAATATTTGTGTTTATTTATAGTTGGTTGATTTGCATTGAGATTTGATCAGTTTGGATTTATGGAGGTTTGATTTGGGCTTATTGAGGATTGATTTGCATCTATTGACACTGGATTGATTTCCATTTCTTGACCTTTGATCCACCTGAATGTATTGCAAGACCTAATGTTCCTTCTTTCTTTTCAGTGTCTTCAAAGAGATTCTCTGCCAAGGTGAGGTGATGTGTGTCTGCTCTTGCCCTGAAGTGTTTGATTAATAGGAGTAATAGCTCTAACAGCATCTTTTGTTTGTCTTTACTTACCTTCCTTGCTTGGCATTCATTAGCAGCTCCCATAGAGGGAAACACTGGGCACAGTATGTGTAATATAGAGCAGTTTTTAATTAGGACAGTGATTGCTGATAGCACAGAGAGGCTCAGTCCTTATTCATCCTCCAGGTTGTAGCTGGGACATGACAGTGAATGTGGCATCACTCAGAGCTTTGCTTTTTGGGACCTTCTAGTGAGTGTTTTGGGGCCTCTAGTGATTATTTTCTTTTCCCCCACCACCCGAGGAGTAGTTTGAGCCTCTGTAGACCATCTGGGAGCTGATGTCCCTTGTGGCTTCTGCATGTACACTCTGCCTGTGCTGTGCTAATATGTGTCATCCAAATGGTTCTAAGATGAATTTGGGTTGGGTTTGTGCAAACAGCTCTGTGCCTTACCCTTCCCTCAGAGGGAGAGTGAAGATACCTGGAATCTAAAGCTCCTTTTGCTTTTCAATGTGGGTCTGATTGAGTCTCCCTGGAGGAGATGCTTAGTTGTCTTGTCCTGGGGTCAGGGTTGGGGTGGGAAGGAGGTTGCACCACAAGGTCACCTTTCCCCTCTCTGTTGTCTGGACTCCTCCTGTGCTGCTGTCCCTGCCTGACCCTTGCTGTGTTGCCTGCAGGAAGCTTACAGGCTGATCTATCACACCTACCTCAACGAAGGCTTCTGGAGCCTGTGGCGAGGGAACTCGGCCACCATGGTCCGCGTCATCCCCTACGCCGCCATCCAGTTCTGTGCACACGAGGAGTACAAGCAGCTCCTGGGCAGCTACTACGGCTTCCAGGGAAAGTAAGATGCAGCCTGGCTTGGGTCCTGGTGGAGGAGATGGAGCAGAGGCTGTTCCTCTGCTCTGGGCAGGGCTGAGGTGGAAGCTCTTGGCACGAAGATGTGATGGCTTCAAGAAGAGGGTGTGAGGGGTCTGAGGGAAGGGTTGGGCTTCCTTTCTTGCACAGGGGAGGTGTTTGTGAGGAGACACCCTTGTCTTCTAGAGGCATGAGCAAGAAGTGGCCTAGACACTGAGTGAGCACTTTTCTGGGCAGGCAAAACAAAGAGCTGCAGGAGGGCTCCAGCCTTGCACTGTCATCCAAGCCGTGCATGTGGCCTGAGCCTCTTGCTCTTGGCCATGTAGTGTCTGAGACACCCCAAATCAGGCTGAGATGCTCTCCAAGAACCCCCACAGAGATTCTCTCCAAGCTGGCCTTCCTTTCTTGGACAGGGGAGATTTTGTGAGGAGACACCCTTGTCTTCTAGAGGCATGAGCAAGAAGTGGCCTAGACACCGTGTGAGCACTTCCCTGGGCAGGCAAAACAAAGAGCTGCAGGAGAAGCAACAGGTTCCAGCCTTGCACTATTGCCTGAGCCTCTTGCTCTGCGTCACGTAGTATCTGAGACACCCCAAGTCAGGCTGAGATGCTCTCCAGGAACCCTCACAGAGGTTCTTGGCTGGCTGTGCCCACCCACAGCTGCTTTCCTGGGCAGGGCAGGGGTTTGGCAGGAGGCAGAGCCATGCTCTAAAGCCAGGCAGTGTTTCCACCTGCAGGTGACGTTTGGTCTGTTCTCTCACCTCACTTTAGAGCGCTGACTCCCTTCCCTCGGTTCATTGCTGGCTCTCTGGCAGGCACCACAGCTGCCATGCTAACCTACCCCCTGGATATGGTCCGTGCCCGAATGGCTGTCACGCCGAAGGAGATGTAAGTGCCTCACAAAACCAAGTTACAAGCACCACCACCACCCATAAATGCACAACTTTGTTTTGTGTGGGGTTGTTTTGTTGTTGGTTTTTTGTTGGGGTTTTTTTTTTAAGCTCAGCTGACTTTATTCCCATTTTCTGGGTCACTTCTTGCTCGGAGCCTTTGGTGGAATAAACCTCTTAGCGTTGGGGTCTGAGCAGTGATTAAATCACCAGAGCACTGGTTAGTCCAGGGGGCTGGAAGGAGATGGGAAACCTATTGGGACCTGTGTGTTGGCTCTTTATGAGGCCACTTGGCATGGTGCCTCCAGAAGGATCCAGCAGACAGCACAGCATGTGTGGCAGGGCTGGGGCAGAGCTGATGTCTGGCAGACAGGCTGCTGAAATCCCTGCTGAGCTGTTGGAGGAGCTCAGAGCCGAATTAATTAA